TTTATCCGACATGGACATCCAGAGAGTTGCTCTCCTGGCTCTGTCCTGGTGGCGTATGGGAGCGTAGCTCTGAGCTGAGACGTACAGTCCCGTTCCACAATGTCGGACAGAAAGCTCTGTCCCCGGCTGCCGGCCGGTGAGGACGAGCGTCCTGCATATTCCTACATCTTCCCAGAGTCCTTTGGGGCCATTACTGGGGAGCTAAACCATGCAGTGCACATCTTTTCAAATCAGGGTTCAACTTATAGGTTGATAATGAAATAAAACCTCTTTTATGTAAGCAAGAATATCAGCCTGAACCTGATTGTTACCTTAATGCTGCTCTGTAGTTGCTTTTGTTTGCCCAATTCCGCGTTGGAGATTAATTGAACAATTTCTGACTTTCAGAGGAGAATTCTGCCCAAACCCACCAGGAAAAGCCGCACGAAGAATAAGCAGAAGCGTCCCAGGAGGTGAGTGCAGAGAGTTGGCTTTCAAATCTGATCTCACAGATTTCTGCGGCTGACTCGCAAGAGTGGGTCAATGTGTTAAAGTGGATCTGGAGTCTTTAATGTTAGACACTTTCCAGCTCTGACATTGATTCAAGTGAAAGAATGGAGGGAAGATGGTGCAGTGATGAGTATTTCCACTAATACTCTTGAACTTTTTTTTTTTTTTTTTTTTGGAGCTCATACAAAAACACTATAATGAACTTTAGCTGGCAACGTTTACACTGTGCTTAGTTTACTTTCATTTTTCTGAACTTCAGTGTTCTCTGGGTTTGTAAATTGTTCGATCTTCTGTCACCTTCTCAGACCCCTTTTATCAGTCCAGCATCGGGTAGCCTGGTGGTGGTTACATGCGATCTACCACCACCTTGTGGAGGTACTGTTGCGATGCATGCTACCAGATGCATGTGATGAAAATTAATAGTTCTTGTGATCTTCATTTTCATCACATGACGTTAATGCATCTGCAGTGCTCTCTTTAAGTTTTAGAAATTGCTTTGTGTATAAATGATTTTTTTAAAATTTATGTTAATACTGTGTTGAAGTGTCTTTTTTGAGGTAACACCCTTAAGATTTATTTCTCTGTCCTTCAAAATAAGAGATTGTGAGGATAACTGTAAACTTAAATCTACAAATGTGTTTCTAAAAAACGGGAGAAAGGTTTATTAACTGGACAAAATGATGCTATAAACCCGTTTTTAAATCTAATC